AATTTCTTCAAGAGGTCAGCTGTAACACAAACAAGGAGCAACTGTTTCTAGTTCAACAAGCCACAATGTAGGACTGAGAACAGATGCTTTTTCACCCAGAGGGTGAAAACTCTATGGAACCGCTTACCCGCCGAAGCCTTAAATGTCAAGACGCTGTTACATTTCAAAATCCAACTGGAAAAGATTATTAAGGAAAATCGTGGGGGGGGGGGGTGACCAAACCCCACATTAGACGAGGACACGACGACATTTAGGTCCGTCCTGACCATTATCACGTTGATTGTCTTAATAATGGACTTGATAATGATCCAGGACGGACAGACGCGTCGTGGTCTCGTCAGCTTCTGGTGTGTGGGGAGCACAAGCGACCACTTACCAATAATAATGACGCTATCAACTAACCCTATTCAGAAACCTTCACCACCAAGACTTCAATACACTAAAACTGACTGGGAGGCGTTCAAAAGCAGTGCACAGCAAGGAATCAGTGTCACAGACTTTACTGGACACGAAACATGATGCATAAACACAGAGCTAAGTACATGGATTAGCACCATAGAAAACTGCATGAACGATCATATCCCCGTAGCTCACCACACAACGCTTCAACACCCACTGACACACTCACAACGTTGTTATGCTGTTATAGATTCAGCTACTCGGAACAAGTTCCAAGTAGCACGGGCTATGGTGAGCCCGTAACTTACCTGGTACAAGAGCGGGCAAGTAGCACGGGCTATGGTGAGCCCGTAACTTACCTGGTACAAGAGCGGGCAAGTAGCACGGGCTATGGTGAGCCCGTAGGGGACTTACCTGGCACAGGAGCGGGGCTTTGAATGTAAGAACACTTGTATATATAAATAAATACATAAAAATGTGGGAGGTGCTCCTCCGGAACCCCCAAAGACTTCCACTTGTGGCTGGAGCCTTGGTTTACACAGCTTGATTAACTGCTTTAATTCATCTAGCACATAATTATTTAATACCATGATTATAATGTTTACCAAGCACACATTCACTGCACCAATGAGTTAGGACGAGAATCTACGCTGGCTGGGTACATGCAGATGGCCAAGACACTGGGTATATATAATTGTACAACCCGTTCTCGCACTTTCTTACAGTCAATATTGACTTATTAAATGCGTGCATATGTGACATACTAAACATACTAGTTTACCTTGAAAAGCTTTTTTTAGCTTTTCTTTTTAGAAAAAGCTTAATTACTGATGGTAAATTCATTCAAGTGTAAATTTAAATAAAGGAACATTTAATTACTAATTATAAATGTAGTTATTATTTGTAATTGAATTAATAAATTATTATAGATTTAATAAGTTATATTATGATTATTATTATTATAATAATATTTAATAATAATATTAATAAATTATAATTTTATTATTAAGTTAACCCCCCCTAAGTTGAGGAAGGGAAGGGAACTATCAGGGGTAAAGTGCCAAGCCAGCACGACTATATAGCACTGGGAAGGGGTCAGGATAAGGATTTTGGATCGGACGGGGAAGGGAAGGAATGGTGCCCAACCACTTGGACGGTCGGGGATTGAACGCCGACCTGCATGAAGCTAGACCATCGCTCTACCAGTCCAGCCCCCACAGCACCAAGCCATCAGGGTGTGGAACACCATCGAAATATTAGAGGACCCAATGTTAGAAAGATTACTCCAAGATAAGACGCCCCACTCCCACAGCTGGTGGCCTAAGATGAGACGCCCCACTCCCACAGCTGGTGGCCCAAGATGAGACGCCCCACTCCCACAGCTGGTGGTTCAAGATGAGACGCCCCACTCCCACAGCTGGTGACCCAAGATGAGACGCCCCGCTCCCACAGCTGGTGGCCCAAGATGAGACGCCCCACTCCCACAGCTGGTGGCCCAAGATGAGACGCCCCACTCCCACAGCTGGTGGCCCAAGATGAGACGCCCCACTCCCACAGCTGGTGGCCCAAGATGAGACGCCCCACTCCCACAGCTGGTGGCCCAAGATGAGACGCCCCGCTCCCACAGCTGGTGGTTCAAGATGAGACGCCCCACTCCCACAGCTGGTGGTTCAAGATGAGACGCCCCACTCCCACAGCTGGTGGCCCAAGATGAGACGCCCCACTCCCACAGCTGGTGGCCCAAGATGAGACGCCCCACTCCCACAGCTGGTGGCCCAAGATGAGACGCCCCGCTCCCACAGCTGGTGGCCCAAGATGAGACGCCCCGCTCCCACAGCTGGTGGCCCAAGATGAGACGCCCCACTCCCACAGCTGGTGGCCCAAGATGAGACGCCCCTCTCCCACAGCTGGTGGCCCAAGATGAGACGCCCCACTCCCACAGCTGGTGACCCAAGATGAGACGCCCCGCTCCCACAGCTGGTGGCCCAAGATGAGACGCCCCACTCCCACAGCTGGTGGCCCAAGATGAGACGCCCCACTCCCACAGCTGGTGGCCCAAGATGAGACGCCCCACTCCCACAGCTGGTGGCCCAAGATGAGACGCCCCACTCCCACAGCTGGTGGCCCAAGATGAGACGCCCCACTCCCACAGCTGGTGGCCCAAGATGAGACGCCCCACTCCCACAGCTGGTGGCCCAAGATGAGACGCCCCACTCCCACAGCTGGTGGCCCAAGACATAACCTCGGAGAAGAAAATAAAGAGTATTCAGAGAAAACCGTGTGGATTCTCACTGAACACCAATATTTTCTTCTCTTACCACCTTACCTTACCCTGAGGTGACCTTGAGGTGTTTTCGGGGCTTAGCGTCCCCTCGGCCCGGTCATCAACCAGGCCTCCTCGTTGCTGGACTGGTCAACCAGGCTGTTGGACGAGGCTGTCGCAGCCTGACGTATGAATCACAGCCTGGTTGCTCAGGTATCCTTTGGAGGTGCTTATCCAGTTCTCTTGAACACTGTGAGGGGTCGGCCAGTTATGTCCCTTATGTGTAGTGGAAGCGTGTTGAACAGTCTCGGGCCTCTGATGTTGATAGTTCTCTCTTGAACACTGTGAGGGGTCGGCCAGTTATGCCCCTTATGTGTAGTGGAAGCGTGTTGAACAGTCTCGGGCCTCTGATGTTGATAGTTCTCTCTTGAACACTGTGAGGGGTCGGCCAGTTATGTCCCTTATGTGTAGTGGAAGCGTGTTGAACAGTCTCGGGCCTCTGATGTTGATAGTTCTCTCTCAGACCTATTCTTTTGTATAAATATAAATGTATATTTGTTTTATTTAAACTTTGTTACAAAAAAAGGAGTTACATATGGGGTACAAAGATGATTATCATAAGTTGTCGAGTTCCTCCAGCTCCTCAGATGGCGGGCAGGAACCCTGAATGCAGTGTGCATTTCCCCTCTTTATTGCCACGCTGAGGCGCTGGAAAAGGAAGCTGGCAGCTCTAGGGTCTCTCGTTGTTTCAATTAGCCTATAACCCAGTTTCTTAAAAAAATATTATATATATAAATATATATATGTATATATAAATCAGTAAATAATAATAGTCTAAACAGACCAACATTGCATGTGTGGAAGCATCGGAGTGTATAATATATATATATATATATATATATATATATATATATATATATATATATATATATGAATGCTACACAGTATTCATCTATAGACATCCATATATGGTGAAACACATGTGAAGAATCTCTCTCACACTCACAGCTCCCTGACAAGAGGGAGCCAGCTTAGCTTAGCTGCCAACACCCACACATGGTGTCAGCAAGGCGGACAGCCCGCCTGCTTTCATACTTTCATAACTCTCACTGTATTTCCCACTTTTAAACTTTCTTTCACCTATGCCTCTCCATCTTTACTCCCCCTAAAAAAGGAGAGGGCGCAAGAGAGAGAGAGAGAGAGAGAGAGAGAGAGAGAGAGAGAGAGAGAGAGAGAGAGAGAGAGAGAGAGAGAGAGAGAGAGAGAGAGAGAGAGAGAGAGAGAGAGAGAGAGAGAGAGAGAGAGAGAGAGAGACAGAGAGAGACAGAGAGAGACAGAGAGAGACAGAGAGCGAAAGACAGACAGCAAGAGAAAGAGATAGAAATTAAGAGAGCAAAGCTCAACGCCTTAAGCCATATTGATGCTCTGTCCACAGAGCATTCTCTCTCTCAAATTATATATACTGATGGTTCCCTACACCGCACCACGGGTGCAGCTGGAAGTGCAGTTGTCTGACAATGGGCGATGGCCTATACTTTGAGTGGGGAGTCCGTATAAACAACTGGGCCTCTACCCTTCAGACTGAACTATTTGCCTTGATCCTTGCACTGAAATGTGTACAAGTCTCAAAACTTGATACATTAATTGTAAGTGACTCCTTATCATCCTTAAATGCTCTCAACTCTTTAAGACATAACTGTAACATGCTCGTGTCCGAAGCTAGACACAAATACAACAAAATTATTAAGGATGGTAACAGAGTCCATTTCATGTGGTCTCCATCTCATGTTGGCCTCCGAATGCATGATAGAGCTGATAAGTTAGCCAAAGAATCTGCCTTTAAAGGAGCCGTTGAGTATAACCTTGGATTGCCAATAAGCAGTCTGAGAGCAGCAGTACACCGAGAACTTCAACAAAATCTTGTAGATCTGAGGCAAAGTGAAATCGACACCAGTAATTCCATCTATCATCATGCTATCATGCAAGAGGAGCCACACATCTATGGATCATCCAATAAAATCAGCAGACTTCTAGATGTTACTACTGCTCGGCTTAGGCTCGGTTACAAGTATCTCTGGGAATTCTCATTATCTGCTGATGTAGATCTGACCAAATGTAAACTGTGTCAACAAAATTATTAACACCCTCCGTCACTATGTGATGGAGTGCGAAAACATACGTGAATTTAGAGACAATTCTATAACAAATGTTCGAGAGATGTGTAAATATTTCATTCAAAATGATCTGTTACCAGAAATATTAGCCAATATTTAGCCAGTTTGCTAACTGTAGGTAGTAACTAAGTGATTGTAACCTATCCACCGCTGCCCACTGGATGGGGGGCGGTGTGCAGGACAAACATATAAATTTTGACACTAGCTCTCCACATATGTCAGTTGCTTAATTTAGAACCTGTACTTGAGGTCGATCTCGAACCCATTGTTGATGTGATGACTTATATTGAATTTTGTAACTAGCTCATCAAGATTGTAACTTGCTTAGCTAAATGAATTGTGGGGTTCAGTCCCTGAGCCCATTATGTGCCTCTGTAACCCTTTCCACTACCGCCCACAGGATGGGTATGGGGTGCATAATAAATGAACTAAACTAACTAAACTAAACAAGAGAGAGAGATGGAAAGAGAGCAAGAGAGAGAGATAGAAAGAGAGCAAGAGAGAGAGATAGAAAGAGAGCAAGAGAGAGAGAGAGATAGAAAGAGAGCAAGAGATAGAAAGAGAGCAAGAGAGAGATAGAAAGAGAGCAAGAGAGAGATAGAAAGAGAGCGAGAGATACAGAGAGAGAGAGAGAGAGAGAGAGAGAGAGAGAGAGAGAGAGAGAGAGAGAGAGAGAGAGAGAGAGAGAGAGAGAGAGAGAGAGCTAATAGACGAAGGGTAACCGGGATAAAAGAGGGGCGAGGGAAGACAAAGGCAGAGAGGGAGAGGAGAGCGTGCGAGAGAAGGGAAGAGAAAAGGAAAGAGAGGGAGCCGAATTAACTATAAAGAGAACTGGTTCAATGCAAAACATGTTCAATATTACCTTGACTACATATATATATTTAACAATTATAATAGTCTTTAAATAATGCGGTACTATAGACCTATGTATATATTCGTCATATATTCTCCCGCCTCTATTTTTCTAGTATTGAAAGGGTGGAAAAAGTCTCAGCTCTTTGTCCCAATAAGGAATTTAAGAGGGGAAATATAGAGCTGTTCCCGGCACATACTGACGTTTTAATTTAATTGAACTCAATTGCTGTACATAGACAATTAATTTAAACAAATAATGTAGCAAATGCAAGCTATCACGAATTGGTTATCGATGCATATACAATGTGTTTAGCGAGTATGGTGTATAGTGGCAACTGTGGCGAGCAGCTGCAATGATCGGGGAGTAGCGGATGTCTGGCCACTGGGGGGGGGGGACGAGATGCCATTTCGTGCAACATTATCAAATACACAACATATATATATATGCATCTTTGAGGTAAATATGTATATAAAAGATTATTCTAAATATCATTTAAACCTGGCGGGTATGTGTACCGTGTACATGACGGTCCAGAGGAGGTTTGTAAGGGGTGTGATGATGTTTGAGGTGGGGAGAGGTGGCAGGAGCGCGGGAGGGTGAGGAGTTGCCTCGCGTGGTGAGGGAGGTGAGGCACGTCCCTCACAACACACCAGCGGCGGGAGATAAACAAACTGCCAGGATGAGCTACACCCGCAGGACGGTCCTCTCAGACGGGCTCACCAACGTTGTCGTCGATCTCCCGGAGAAGGAAATCGAGCGGATCCAGACAGGTGGGTAGGGCGAGGCTGGGCCCAGGAGACATGTCACAGTACTTTAGTGTGGCTCTGGTCACTGGGCGCTGGTTCAGCCCTCCCAGCCCCCCTCCCACCAAACGATTATCTGATAATTAGTTAAAAATGGCCTTTATTGAAGCTACCGATTGTTTATTGAAGCACAGATTATTTATATTTAAAGTAAAACATTATATAATGGTATGTAATATGGCAGGATGCTGATCTAAGAGGGATAAACCCTACAGTTGGGGGCCTCAAACCCCCCTGATGACATGTTAGGCAGGCCACACTCCGCCCCCCCCCCTCTAGTGGTCTGCCACCTCCTCCATGGCTCACTTGTCTCCATCTTTAATCACAATTTACTATTCTTTCAATCTTCTATTTTATATTATCTTATTTTATCTTTAGTTGTCACATGATAGGCTGGGAAGCTGGGATTTTTTTTTCCATGGGGTATAGTTAGAAATAAATTGACACCAAGTTTAAAATGTGTACTTGCCATGTTGAACCAGAACTTTATGGTATATTTTTGAAGTGTGGCTGAAGATAGGTGGAGGATGGCAATCCATTTATGTTACAACATAAGAATCTGTCATCAACAAATCTATCTGTTTGCGGTTTATTAATGTCTACAGCAAACAGCTGCAGATAATACTGTACAACAAACAACAGTGGGGCACAACAAAAGCCATTTACTATAGTACACTCTCTGATATTTTAATTAACAGTTGTTAAACCTCATTTGTACTGGGATCGTAGAGCCTTAGGAATAAATCGGAATTTACATGTAAACAGCTCTCTTATCCCTGATCAAGAAAGTGATATTTGTATGTGTGTGTGTGTCTTTACAAGAATTTCATTTTGTAAATTTTTCTACAAAAGTGTAATTTTAATTTTCAACAGAATGTCATTTTCAGAAATTGATTTTGGACATGCCAGTGAATACACTGTACTAACATAAAATGCAATTCACTTTATAGCATGTTTAGTTTTGGACTGTTAATAGATATATTGTAGTTTTATTTATAATACACTAAAAACCTATAATACAGTACAGCATATTGTAAAAGTTAAATATACTATAATAAGAAAAAAAGACTAATAATTTGCATATTATTTTGTGAATTAGTTTTATAATTTTAATTTTGTTTATCATGCACACCACCTTGCTGGCCACTAGATGGGAGAGGGCGGGTCGTGTGCATGATAAACAAATCAGATTATATAACTAGCTCAGCACAAATATAAGCCGCTTAGCTTAGAAACTGTACTGGTGTTCATTCTCAAACTCATTATTGATATAATAAATACATTAACATGTGAAACTATTTTCTCAATATTGTGACTTGCTTAGCTAAATGAGTTTTGGAGCTAAATGTTCCTGAATACATTGTGCCTTTTTTTTTTCCCTTTTCCTCTAACACCCACAAGATAGGTATGGGGTGCATATTAACTGAAATATACGAAAAATTATACGCTGATGAATTTAATTACATTGTTTAACTGTTAAATTGTTTCACAGATTGCACAGTAATTTTTATACATTTATAAAGTTCCATTTTTATTGCATTTTAAATTTATACATATTTTTTATTTTCATTAATTTATAGTACAGTAATAATAATACTAATTTATTAATATTAAGAAAATCAGTAGGAGCCATGATAAGGATTCGAACCTATGCTCTGGGTGCTCCCAAGCAAATGCCTTAGACCAATAGGCCACGACATGGTCATCACAGCTCCCACTGATTTTCTCATTGATACACCATGTTAATGTGATTTCTCTGTGCAATATTATTATTATTGCTGTATTATTATTATTATTATTATTATTGCGGCTGTATTATTATTATTAAATCTATATTAACAAATTTAGCAACTGAAAACCAGGCTTAAGTAATTTTCAGTAAATTTCCTGCATAATTTAGCATTATAGTCCATTCTACTCATTGTCTGTGGTGTTTGAATGAAGGGTTCTTATAAAAGAGGCAGTTCATGTAAAAATTGTATAATGTATGTAAGTACTGTACAGAAGAATATAAATATTTATTGAACAGCTGATAGTAGTTATTGTTTTCCTTATTTGTATTTAACAATTTGGTGGCTTTCAGATGCAGTGTATTGTCAACAAGTTTTTGACAAGCATGCCAACAGTGATGGGTCCCCAGAAGAAGGTAATGAATAAAAGGGGATTCTGAGTATTTTATCATTTACTAAGTCTTCAAAAACCAGATATTGAGTGTTACAAAAATCTGTATTTTACATTATATTAAATGTTTAAATAACTAAAATGTTACTCAAAGTGTAGAATGTTAATGCATGCATATGTTCATAATACAGTATACTCACTTGTAGCCTGAGATGATAATTTATTTGCAAGAAAGTACAATGGGTTTGTGAGATTACACATTAATGACATTTTTACATTCTTGTAAAGCATTTTGGGCAGGTCCTTAATCTAACATTTATTTCATTTATTTATTTATTAAATAATATGACCATTTATTAAATATACGACCATCATGATCTCTTAACCAGCTTCATGGGAAAATCCAGTGTCTTAGTTGAAGCCAAGAAGGTACAGCAACTTTATGCAAATTATATAACATACAGTAAAGGCATCAGTTCTTGGCTGGTCACCGGTTGTAGGCTACTGGTGACAGACAAATCCTTGTAGCATCTGCATTGTTGGATAAAACTTACTACAAAAGTTCCACAAACTTCAAGTATAGTATAACAACTTCATGAAATATAAGATATCTAAAAACATCAACTGGATTAAAAATAACATTTATGTAAAGTTCTCTGTGTATACTGTACTTATAAAAATAATGGAAAATACAGAGGCTTGTGGATGGTGGATTGATTTGATCAAGATCCTTTGATGCTCCTGTGGCCAGCGTCTATGTCATCTGTGTCAAGTGTCTACTTCTGGCAGGTCCCTCAGTAGCTCCCCGAGCTACAGCCTAGGTAATGTCCAAGTAAACCACATTAGGCCTCTAGTGAATCCAGCTCACCAAAATCCAGGACCAAAATCTGGCACTGTCAGAGACTAAGGGGAGCCTGGGAATCTGGGATCACCACAGTACAATGAGAATTAACCACCAGAAAGGAAGTGCGCTCCAAAACAAGCAACTGTATGGAAAAACTTGTAACCCTGCTACTATGCCAACACTCATTATCAGAACAAATATACTGCTTAGCTACACCAGTTCACAACTTAATGGCAGTCCCAGTAGCCCAGGGCCCTTGTCAGCCAAACAGCTCTGTCTCGTGCCTGATGTAATCTAAGTGAAACAGCTCTACTGGGCCCTCTATCTACTGTTAACACACATGGAGTTGCTATGTGGGAGCCTGTGCTTGTTCCTCTTATGCTTCATGCATATTCTGAACTCCCACTTTGTGGGCTCTGAGACCTAGTTTGAAACCGGATAGGGTTTGCATCCCTGTTAGTAAGATGTATTTAACCACGGCTTGGCAATACTAGAGCTAAGTTTAGAGAGCTATTTGGGGCCCACAAAAAAAATTTAGGTAATAATAATCAAGCATTGAAATTAGTGATAGTGTAAGTACAGAATTTAAATATGCTGCAGATTACTTGGATAGCTCATGTTGCAGTTTTTTAAATCTCAACTAGAAGGCTGTGATGTGCTGTGATTTTTTTTAGTTAAATTCATAACTATTATTGCACTTGGGCTATACAGTACTGTATTAAGAATAATTATTTTACAGAAACAACAAGTGAGGACATGCGAAGTGGTTCCGAGGGGCCATTTGATCGACGTCGAAAGTCTTTTAAAGGTTTGTAGTAACATTTCACGTGATATTCATTAATATAGTATTATGAACAAAAATATAACCAGTTTGCACTGATTTTTATGAATGATATTGGAAATAATGTGTTAAATATTCATTTGGAATACGGTAGTAATATATAATAATAACAATAATAATAATAATTTTTATTTAGGCAAAGGTACATACATAAAGAGATTTTACAAAGTTTGTTGGCTTTATAGATAAGAGCTAGTACATACAATGCCTAAAGCCACTATTACGCAAAGCGTTTCGGGCAGGAAAAAACACTACTGACTAAAGCTTAAAACTAATGGGTAAAAAGAAAAAAATGCGTTGAGTACAAATAAAAATAGAGGTAAAAGAGGGGGGAACATTGTTGAAAAAACAGCACAAATACAATTACAAATTATTACAGAAAATTACATTAAAACAGCGTTGATTTGAAAAACAAAAAAAAAAACAAAAAACATACATGGTTTGACAATAGAGGGGTAAGGTAGGTTACAGGGAATTTATTAGGTATAGCTTCGTTTTTAATTTAAACTGGTTGAGAGAGGTACTGTCCTTAACATGGTTGGGAAGGTCATTCCACATTCTGGGCCCCTTGATTTGTAGAGCATTTCTGGTTTGATTAAGTCGTACTCTAGGAATATCAAAACTGTATTTATTTCTGGTGTGGTGCTCATGGGTTCTGTTACAACCTTCTATGAAGCTTTTGAGATCAGGATTGGCATTACAGTTTACCGTTTTATATATGTATAGTACACATGAGAGAATGTGCAGTGACTTAATGTCTAACATATTCAGGGATTTGAGTAGGGGTACCGAGTGATGTCTGGGGCCAGAATTGGATATTGTCCTAATAGCAGCTTTGTGTTGAGTAATTAGAGGACGTAAGTGATTTTGGGTAGTAGAGCCCCAAGCACAAATACCATAGTTGAGATATGGATAGATAAGGGAGTAATAGAGAGTCACCAGGGCAGGGCGTGGTACATAATATCTGATCTTAGAAAGAATGCCCACAGTTTTTGAAACTTTTTTTGATATGTTTAGAATGTGTCCCTGGAAATTCAGCTTGTGGTCAATGAGAATGCCAAGGAATTTGCCATCTAATTTGTTACAAATTTGGGTATTGTTTATTTTGAGATTTATTTGATTAGAGGATTTATTGCCAAACAGAATATAGAAAGTTTTGTCAATGTTAAGGGTGAGTTTGTTGGCAGTTAGCCACAGATGGACTTTATTTAGCTCAGTATTTACTGTGGCATTTAGAGCAAGGGGATCAGGACTGGAGTAAATGAAGGTTGTGTCGTCAGCAAATAGGATTGGTTTGAGGTGTTGGGAGACATTTGGAAGGTCATTAATGTAGATGAGAAAGAGGAGAGGGCCAAGTATGCTGCCCTGGGGAACACCAATGTTGATGGGTAGGGTGGGAGAAATTGTATTATTCACAGAAACACATTGGAGCCTGTCAGTAAGGTAGGATTTGAGGTATTGTAGGGAGTGTCCTCTGACACCATAATGATGTAATTTAAGAAGAAGGTTTTGGTGGTTGACAGTATCGAAAGCTTTACGCAGGTCCACAAATAACCCAACAGGGAACTCATTTTTATCAAGAGCTGTATGAATCGAGTTAAGCATACTAATAAGTGCATCGTTAGTGCTTTTTTTGGGCCTGAAGCCATATTGGCAAGGGCTAAGTATATTGAGTTTGGCTAGATATGAGTAAAGCTGCTTATAGATTAGTTTTTCAAAAATTTTTGACAAGTTTGGCAGGATTGATATAGGTCTGTAGTTGTTAACATCTGTGAGATCACCACATTTGTGGACAGGCATTACTCTCGCTTTTTTTAGAATATCTGGAAAGGTTTGGAGTTCAAGTGACTTGTTGAAGAGCAAAGCAATAGCAGGGGCTAAAGATCTGGAGGCTTTTTTGTAGATTAAAGTTGGTATCTCCTCAAGGGCACCAGACTTGGTTTTAAGGGAAAGGATTATCTCATTGACGTCAATGGAATTAATAGGCTTTAGGTACAGAGACTGGGGATAGTTCCCTGTAAGATAGTCCTTAATGTCAGTACTGGAAGATGGAATATCATTAGCAAGGGATGAACCAATGGAAGAGAAGAACCTATTGAACTCAATAGCAGAATCAGAGGCTGAAAGCTGACCATCGTTATTAGACAGGAGAGTCGGTTTGTTATTTAAAGACTTCTTTGATCCCAATATTTGTGAAATTGTTCTCCATGTTTGTTTAATGTTGCTCTTTATTTGGGTAAATTTATCTTCGTAGTATTTAGTTTTGGCTCGTCTAATTATCTTAGATAGCAATAATGAGTAATTCTTTGAGAATTCTTTGGAGACAATTCCTAACCTATACTTTTTCTCAAGGTCATGTTTTTTATTAATAGATTTAAGTATTCCCTTTGTAAGCCAGGGATTGTTAAGCCTTTTGGTTGTGACTTGTTTTGTAAGCATAGGACAGTGGGTATTATAAAGGCTAAGAGTTTTTTGAAGAAAAGATTGAACTGCTAGGTTGATGTCCTCTATGTTACCTAACTCGGACTCCCAGTTGACATTATCAGTAGCAGTTATAAAATTGTCTATAGCAGTTTCATTGTGTAGTCTAAAACGTATCTCTCTTGACTCAAGAGGTGGTTTGCTAATGTTAGTCAAGAGAAATGTGGGGTAATGGTCTGTAGTGCTATCGGTGATTATACCTGAAGTAAGCGGAGAGGTTATATTTGTCCAGATGTGATCTAGAGTCGTGGCAGTGCTATCAGTGATTCTAGTAGGTCTAGTGATTAAGGGTATGAGGAAGCAGGAATTCATACAGTTGAGAAGCAGGAATTCATACAGTTGAGAAGCAGGAATTCATACAGTTGAGCCATATAAGATGTTTGGAGCCTGTCTTGCCCAACATGAAGCTTGTGGGGTATGGGAATGCCATAGACCCATTGGGGTCAGCTCCAATGCCACACTTTAAGAAACACTGAGGTCTAACCAAATCCTCTATTGGTTGTGTTCTTCACACTTATTTCAGTTTATTATATACTTTTTCTTTAAGAGGGGGGGAAAGAGGGAAGAAGGGTCAAAATGGGGGATACTTGAAGAAAGGAAATGAGAGGGGAGGGGAGATAGCAAAAGAGAATTGAGAAGAGGGGAAAGTGGGGGGGGGGGGGGAAGAGACCCAGGTATAGCTGGGTACTCTAGTGTGTATGTGTAATTATACACACAGTATATACACACGTATGTATAATATGTCATATATATATATACAGTATTACACAATGGAGTGAAAGATATATTACACAAAAAGTCTAGATATACAAAAGACTTGTATGCCAATACAAGATCCGAATTTTGTAATTTTTTGGTGTGCACAAGAAGCATTCCAAATAAGCGTGAGACCAATACACAGTGAAAACAGTCTTAAAGAATTAATACAAGTCACATAACTAAATTCTGATCTCCACCTAGCATTCTGACTTGGGGCAGTCAAGAAGAGTGAACAATAAAGAGGTTCGTGGCAGAAAACCTGATGGTATTATAGGTGCTGCAGGTGGAGGCAGTAGATTGTTCACTACAGTGCCACTTGGCAGTCCCTGTGATCCTGGGTTTGGCTTGAAAGCAATTTGTGTGTTTATAACCGGAGATAACTCTGGGGTAGAATAAGCTTTTGTCCAGTTCTATCCCTAATGGTAATATAACCCGACAAACATTTGCTGGTGTCCATTGTCACTGTCCTGACTGGAATGATCAGGTCAGAAAATACTTTTGTATTTTGTCTACTTATTAATGTGTGTCCTTTGAAGGCCCACTTATTAAACGACACACTTCAGGAAGATAACATCACTATCAATGATTACAGAGAGCAAGTATTCTCTATTAACACATTGAACCAAGTTTTGCTCTACAGTATACAGTAATGTAAATATAGTATTTAAATTTTTTCTTTTAGCAAGTAAACTCTTGTACCTCTATCTTTCCAGCTCCTTGGGATGCAGAAATGACTCGGTTTTTCATCACTGAATATCGCAGTGTTAGAGGAATCATGACTAAGAAGAGAGAAGCTTTCTTACACATTTCTGACAAGATGAACCAAAGAGGATATGATGTTACGCCATACACTGTTGAGAAAAAATGGCATAACTTAATAAAGACGTACAAAAATGTGTTAGATCGTGCAATTCATAAGGGAGAGGAAAAAATATGCTGGGAATTCTTTGAGGTAATTATGGTACAATTAAATATGATACTGTATTAAATATAAACAATTTCTGAGAAATATTTAGTAAAGCAGCTGTGGTATTGTATTGTACTGTATAAGATACTCATTACAGTAATTGGTATTCTCATCTTATCTATTTTCAATGGATTTATGCTGTATGTCTTTCAGGCATTTATTTTGTATTTTAATTGAGAGTACTGTAATTTGTTTTCAATTTTGGTTCATATTGCTACAAGGTCAGACAACTGAGTACTTTTCCAAATTGTGCCACTTAGTTGCTTTCTTAGGTAGTGTCCTGCTCGTTGCATGGACAGGATCGTTTAGTCAGGGTAGATCGACATTCCATACCAGTGCAGATAGGATATTTTCAGATATTCCTTCTTGGTCATAAGAGATGTAATGGAAACACTAGAGCACATTCAGTCCAGGCCTAAATGCCCTGTAGCCGGTTCATTCATGTAAACACATAGACCTTCATCTCCCTACTTGGCATCACAAGGACTGCCAAGCAATGCTCTCGCCATTTACTTGTTGGCCTGACAGCTACTACTACCCCAGACTACCAATCAGGTAGCACTTCCAACACACCAACAGGGTTCCCTCACTTTAGCTATTTCACATTCTTCCTGACTGGTCCTTCATGTAGTCTGGCAAACACACAAAAAACACCTTGGCTGAGTGTTTATCCTTAGAAACATTTTTCATTGTACAGTGAACTGCTGTTAGTGAATGCATCTTGTATATATGTATACTGTACAGTCATTCTTATTCCAAAAACATGCAAACAAATTCTCTCAGGTTTTGTTTGTGCTGGGCACAAATATTTGAAGTACATTTGGCTGTTACATTATTGAACTGTGGTGTCATAATATATTCTGTTTATCCACAGATCATGCCTTGGCCAGTTTTTCTTTTTCCTAGGGGGATGCCCTCGTCTATCCTTGTCTTAGGATTAGGCAGGCTTAGACTAGGGTACAATAAGAACTCCTGTCCTAGTACCCAGCTGATCTCTCCTTCATACTCAAGACTGAAGGTGATTTCATACTAATTAATACTCACAATCAAGGCAAATGGGTGGACCTTCAAGCCACTGGCTTCCTGTTCTCGTCGAGGCCACTAGGATTAGTGGCCCTCGGGTAAAAAATCTGGTAAATACTGTGGTCTGGGGCATTGCTTTTCAATGCCATGGTTACCCAGATAACCATGAGTATATAAAAATTCACCCAGATAAAGCTGTAGCAGGCCATTGCATTGACCTTTTAAATGACAATGTGATGTCTCACTATAGACACGTGTTAAAATGTAGGGAAAACCAATGTCTTTAGACAGATTCTTTGTAAGACTAGCAAGCATTGAGCCAGAACCAGGTCCTAGTGGTATGCCTGCAAAATGTAGGAGAGAGAGAGTACCCCAGAGAAGTTATCACTGCCTGATGTTATAATGGAAGGGGCTCGCCTTCCAAACACTAACACACTTCTCCTCCCCACCACCTTCCATACACCAACAAGAGTCATCAATAAAGGTAAGCTATAACTTATACTATAGTACAAAATTGTGTGTATTATGTATGAAATGTATTTTGAAGTTAATATTTTTGGGAGTGTGGAAGATATTAATTCAATTTACATTATTTCTTATGGGAAAATTCGTTTTGAGTTACGACTTTTCAAGTTACGACCCGACTCTGGGAATGGATTCAATTCGTAAATAGAGGTACCACTGTATACTAAATGAATTAAAAGCAATAAAAATGAACCATTTCTCTCTCAGGAAGTACTCAGTGTTTATAATATTAATTACAATATAACATTTTCAACATTATGCAGAGAATAAGTCACAATAACATGGCTGAAATTTAGCAACTCAACTCACATGTATGAAAAGAATTGAAAGTTATGGTGTGTGGACTGGGTTATTAATATTTATGTTTTGTGAACAGTAAACATTAACATTTAACAAAATTTCAGGATATGGATGAAATTATCAAGAACAGCACTCCTGCACTGCCAGCACCTGGCAACCTGCAAGCTCTTGCCAAGTCCAGAAAGGTGTATCCAAATTCTGATGTCTCACCTTCAACTGTTCCAGAAACCATATCAGTGTCTCCAGATTTCTTACCATGTCCACCATCTCCAGAGTTAATTATTACAACATCTCACTCCTCTTCATCGCCACCACCTACAGTTGAAGGGGCTAACACATCCTCTCCAGCCTTTAATATGTCAACCCTGTTATCATCGGCACCATCTAGACCTCATGTGCTAAATAACTCTGTTTCTTGCGTAGGTGTCTCTTCACATTCCTCTTTGCACACTACAGAAACTCAAAATTCTTCCACTGCTCACTTTTCGTCAGACACTTCATCACAAACTCAAACCACATATTCTCAAAATCAAATTGTCTCCACAGCATCTTGGCCAGTGCATGCATCCCAGCCACAAACTTCCACCGTCACAAATCTTCCAAACAATACAACTCATTTGACCTCCACATATATGCAGTCATCAAATATGACTCCTTCCTCACTTTCTAATGGTTATGCCTCACACATTCAAACATCTACATATTCTAAGGCAATTGAGCCACATCAACAGCCCCACACACAAGCTGCAGGCATAATAAAAAATGAATCTGACAATGAGGTTTTTGTACATAACTCTTGTAAGAAAAGAAAGTGGGAAGAAGGTTTGTCATGTCACACTGTTGAGTCAGAGGGAAATCTATTGGCAGTTCAAAGAGAAATGAATGCTCATCTCAGAACTTTGAATTCAAATATTTTGGCAATGGGACATACTTTAAATGAAAATATTGTTGGACTCAAGCGTGCTGTAGAGAGTATGGTATCAATAATGCTGCAAAATAAAGCTAGTGCATAGAATATCACAACCTCACAAACAGAATATCACAAACTCGCCAACAGAATGTCACAAACATTGAGCTTTATAGTAGTGTGCTGTATCTAAGCCCTGTACTTAACCTAAAAGAGAAACAATGCAGATTTTTATGATGTTGGATTTTTTTTCTCCAAGTTTAATTTTGTGTGTGTGGTATAGAGGTTATATAATAAACATGTGTATGCACATATTTGTATATAGTGTGTGTATTATATATATAATATTATATATATATATATATATATATAATATGCGAACAAGCTTGAATGGTCCCCAAGCATATATGCCAATGAAAACTCAACACCCCAGCAGTGACTCGAACCCAGACAGCCAGGAGCACTATGCAACTGGCGTACATGGTACCTTAACCACTTGACCAACTGTGACCATACAAAAGACGTTGGTAGCCGAGGCTATTTCACCAACATTCTGACGGCACTTGGTGGTAAGCTTGGGCATAGTTATTTCATCGAATCTCCTCGCTTTGTGGGGCCATGTGAGCAACACAAATGCGAACAAGCTTGAATGGTCCCCAAGCATATATGCAACTGAAAACTCCACACCCCAGAAGTGACTCGAACCCAGCCAGGAGTACCATGTACTCTGGTTAAGATACCATGTATGCCAGTTGCATAGTGCTCCTGGCTGTTTGGGTTCGAGTCACTTCTGGGGTGTGAAGTTTTCAGTTATATTATATATATATATATATATATATATATGTATATGTACTGTACATATATATATATATTTATATATATAGTTTACTGACCACACACACAAATATTACAATTGCTGTTCGAAGACCTCATTCAGGTCTTTGGATGTAAGGTGTGTGCCCAAGATACAGCGAGCATTTCCTCTCTGAATTGCGATACCGAGGCGCTGGAACAGGAAACTGGCTGCTTTCTAGTCTCTAGGTTGCCTTATGAGTTCCTCACCCACCTTCTTTAGGAACTTAAGTGCACATTTAGCCCAGGGTCTCAGAGCCTATCGGCACCATGCCTCCCTCAACTATACTGTGAGGTAGATAGGTATCAGCCAATGTAAACACACACGTATAGTCCCACATAACCTGTCTACCATCCCTCTATGGCTGCAGGGTGACTCCATATGGGCATTTATAACTGTTGTCAGGTCTGCACAACTGAGGTTTTCTTGGCTACAGCTGGGTGTCCAGTACAAAACTTTTCTTGGTGATGTCATTGAATCTTTCCCTGTGACTTACGACAGATGAGACCATAGCTGCCGTATTGCTCCGCCCGTGCATAGCCGCAGATACACCGGTGTTCGGTGGAGATAGGGGCATTATATAATTTATATAATTTTGTTGCTGCATGTGTAGACTGTCTGCATTGTAGCCTCTGTAGGTAGGTAATTATACAAATACACTAAAGAAAAAAGATTTGATATAATTTATTAAAGGCTGAATAATAGTTTTGCTTGTGGAATAAAGTAGTAATCTTAATCCATGATGTGCATGATGTACCCTACAACAGCTTTAGGGGTAATCTGGGTTTTCCAGTTTAGTGGATATGATTTACTGGATCTTAGAGGAAAATATATCTTACGTTTTAATAATAGCAGAACTATTGTTTGTGAAAGAGTATATATTATATATATATATATATATATATATATATATATATATATATATATATATATATATATATATATATTATATATATATATATATATATATATATATATATATATATATATATATATATATATATATATATATATATATATATATATATATATATATATATATATATAATATATATACTGTATACATTATATATATATATAATATATATACTGTATACATTATATATATATATATTATATATACAGTATATATATGTAGCCAAGTCATTTACCTTTTGAATTTGGAAAACATTTACCAGAAAGCTGGAAACTGGGTTAAGACCTTTATTATGCAAGTCCTTATTCTATGCTAAGAGTTCTCCACAAGAGCGAGCTTTAGCTGCCATCTTGAAAAAATGGCGATGAAAATGTGTTTGTCAAATATCTTGTTTCCTGTTAGTTTTCACCAAACAGGTAATGAATACTTTTTAAAAGGAAATTTAATTCTCAACAAAAATGGTCCTTAGCATGCTCTATGTTGGGTTAATGGTTTCCGAGAAAAAGGGCCTGGAGGGTTGAGAGACAGCAGGTTAGTCAAACTTGGAAGGTTTAGCCAGTGCATATTTAAAACCATTGTTTCTAGGGACATCAAATGCAAGTCACAGTATAACGTAGTACTTGCACCACTCGGCGAGGGTCCTGCTATGTTTTTTTTTATTTATTTATTTATTTTTTTTTTTACTTATCCAACTACAGTATCTATGTTTGGAAGACTATGATGTGTCCTGTCCTGTCCTGTTCGTGTTCCTGTTCATTGGCAATTTCCTGGACATCAACATTAGCCAATGAGACATGTTCATCTGGCTCTTCACATTCAACATCATTTTTGCACAATTTCTCCTTACAACTAGAACAAATGATGAAACATTTGAGTTCAATCTTTCAACAACTACAACTAACCTTACAGTCTCCTTTATATTTACATTAAATTGTTTTGAGGATGTAATCTTGAGTTGGGTATCTGGTGTTTGTGGAGACGCCCATAATGTCTTTTTCCAAACCCAGTTGAGTAGATTTCTGTTTTCCACACTATGTCTGTACCTGGTGATATATATTCTGAAAGAATGAGGTCATAGAGTTACTTCAATAAGAGGCAATGAAGCAAGGTTAAAGAACAAATGAACAAAGACACAAGGGCCGTGACGAGGGTTCGAACCTTACGTCCGAGAGGATCCCAGATGCTGCCTTAATCAACTGATCTACTACATGGTAAAAGAATTGCTACCAGGAAATCATCCCGATTTACCAACGGTTAAAGTGTAAGGTTAAACTAATTTTTAGACAGAATTAGCGAAAAGTTCAAATCGTACATTGCCCAATGAAGTTTCCTCTTCTTTTGTCCCCAAATAGAGCTGTTAAAAAGTTCTTCCCAAACTTTTCAATAGAATAATGATCTGCATTTGGATCTTTGAAAATCTGGACATCATCATGCATCTTTTTGTTTCCAGACATTAGCTTGACATATTTCATTTTACCTTGCCAGTTAAAGGAAATAGTAGTATTGCAACTACTGAATGCACATAATCAAATATTGTTCTGTACCTCTTGAGAAAACTTGAAGCTACTAAAAGAATACATCCTCCCTCCCTCCCACTTTACCTTTGCTCGGCTTGAAGAAATAGATATTTGACTTTTGGGTTATCACTGCAGCAGGAATCACCAGATAATTGTCTTTACTTACTGCCATAACAGAATCAGAATTGTTTGACGAGTCGAGTCCCATCTGGATAACAAGAGTGTCACCGTCCTCTTCAGCTTGCTTTACAACGAATCCTTCATTCTCCAGTTTCGGACACTATTTCATGGAGCTGACATTTATTCTTTTCATTAGAGTGAAATGATACCAGGGACATTGTTACTTTAATTAACTGATCAAACTACACATCAGCAGTATCTGTTGATGTATCAGTATCTACTGTACTTCAATCAATACTGTATAGGTGTTCTGCTGATTTGATGCATCGGGCTTCTTTTTTTTTGTATTCATCAAATACCAATGACATTGTTTTCTTTATAATATCTCCTTACACATATTCAACACACTTGCTCATTATAACATCAAATAATTCATTCTCATGCCATACAACACGATGAAGAAGAACCCCACCATATACTATGTGAATTCCATTGACAACCTGCACATCAGAAACAGGTATGAACAAAAATGAGTTTTGCACAATTTTGTTTTCATCATCATAGAAGTTGCATGAATAATCTTTGCAATAGCAAGGCGAGGCAAGAGGTCTGCTCACAAGGCTCAGGAGTAAGCATGTTCCATATGCATTTTATGTGGTTGCAGCAGCATTCACAGTAAAGAATAGTTCTTTCAATGAACAAATCCACAAGGGCCGTGACCTAATTCTCACGACCTAATTCTCCAACAACTTTTGCAATGGAAATAGCTTTTAGTTTGTCAATTTTCCCAGCTGAAAATACAAAAAAGTATATGGAATGTATTCAACTTCCACTTGTTGAATGAAATACGTTGGTTCCAACTATCGTATCAATGTTGATGTCGACATTATCAAACACAAATTGAGAAAATTATTCGGGTGTCACTGTTGGTTCTGGGTGTTCAAGAGCTGATACTTCGAATAACTTAATTTCTTTATATGAAATGCCAAAACCTACAGCAGAGATGATATCCATAAGATATTTTTAACCAAGTACCATGCTTAACAATGCCCAAGACCAATTTGAAGGCAAGAACTGTGCTGTTGACGTGATTTTAGTTTTCCAATGATCCTTAGTTCTTTTCTTTTTGTTCTTTAAAATGATTGTTTCCTGGAACAGATGGAGATATTTTGGTATGTCAATTTCAATAATATTGAGAAATGCAGATACTGAAGGTTATTTATCAATTTCACATAATTTGCATCTAATGACCTTTCTAACAATTTCTGCACCAGATTGAACTATACGAAGATGTTCTTCCTGTTCGCTCTTCCTTCGTGTATTGTGAAAATTGACCAAGAATCTTATGGCCAGTATTACGAAAACAAATGGCTAGTTCTCCATTATGTCCAGAAGTTAATGATATCTTCATCATAAATGATATGAAGCCATTTCATGATTGTTCTATCAGTTGGTATATAGTTTTTCAAATCCTGAAACACTTCATTCAATAAAAATTGACATTCTTCTTGATATACCTTGATATATGAACAAACATGTTGAACTGCTTCAGTTACATGTTCATCTTCAGGTCTGCCACTTCTGTGATGTACATTTGTAGATTGCTTAAAGAATTTTACTGAACACAATCTATGATAACTTCCCTCTGTTGCAAACAAGTCTGACATTACTGATTTGCAGTGCCAACTTCTGAGCTCCACTTGTCTTTCACTTTTTTTGCAGCCTCGAAAACACTTTTTAAAGAACTAACAAGGAAGCAGAGCTAGGGTAGTAGAACTGTTTGGATAGTAGACTTTTACGAAAGGAGCACATAAAACACATGTGCTAAGGA